TGGCCAAAAAACTTAGCAAGGTACCAACTCTGATTTTCCTCCCGGTTTAGTTACTTCCTTTGCCTTTACTGACAAGTTTGTTTTCCAGGTTGGAGTTCTATCCGAAGAAGTTGGCCGGTCACTCCTGGAATCCAAGGACCAGGTCTCCGAACTCACCCTCCTTCTTGATTCTGCCAAGTTGGAGATCAATGACCGGGTCGAAAGGGAGAAGAAGCTGGAGGAAGAGCTAATGGCTGAAAGGGCCAGGTTAGAGGAGGAGAGGACCAAGTTTGCCCTTCTGGAGGAGGAAAGGAATAGAAAGGTGGCCGAGCTTGAGGATGCGTTGGGCCAGGCTGAAGAATCTGCCCGGGCAAAGGAGGAGGCCTTTCCCACCTTGGCTGCTGACTGGGCTGCACGCCATCACACGGAGGTTGCCTGGTCCATTCTCACTACCCCGGCGGAAACTATGGACTTCTTCCAAGTCATGTATCAAGAGCCAGAGGGTAAGAGGATGATAACCGAGATCGGTTGATATGGCTTTCAGTGTGGCCAAAAGGATGAGAGGTCTCTTCTCTATGCTCGGCTTCAGAAGAGGGACCCTTCATTTGATCCGGCCAAGATGAAGCTTCCTCCTTTGTACAAGGAAGAGCCAGCCCCCCCTTTCCCTTTACAATAGGTTAAGGTAGATAATGAAAAAACTCTGAATTTTCCCAAGGCCTGGGGGATGTCCGGCCTACTTTTGATTTGTATGAGATTTAAATCTTCTTGGTATGCTCTTGAATTTTACTGGTCTTACTTGCTTTACATTGCATGGTTGAACTTATTTTTCTCGCATGATCACTTCTTTGCCTGGTTGTTTTCCTGTTTTGAAGTTGCTTGGTTATATTTGCCGGACTTGAACCTTAGGGATTGTCTTTAAAGAATGTCCAGGTCATCTCATGGCCTGGTCTTTAAAACGTCTAAGCTTGGTTGACAATTTTTCAGAAGTAACCGGTATAATTGGCTTGGTTGAAAATGTCCTGGTCACTTTCATTTCTTGAAAATGTCTAGGTCCAGGCACCTCATGTTTGACTAGTTTTCTGGACCGGCTTATGTCTAGGTTGAGCGTCCAGGTCATCTCATTTCCTGGTGTAGTGGGTTAGGTTGAAAGTTTTGAAGATCACTTTAGAGGCAAGGCTTGAAAACTTTCAGGTCATCTCATGTCCTGGTCTCTTGACTTGAAAACGTCTAGGTCACGTCCATGTTGAAATGTAATAAGTTTCCAGGTCATCTTATGTCCTGGTTTATTAGGCTAGGTTAAAATCTTGAAGGGCATTTTAAATGCACGACTTAGAAACTTCCAGGTCATCTCATGTCCTGGTCTCCAGACTTGAAAATGTCCAGATCACTTTGCTCCTAGCTTGTCTCCTGATCCGGTTATCTTCCAGTTGGAAATGTAATAAACGTCTAGGTTGAATTTGTTCTGATCAACTTCCAACAGCCTGGTTGCACTACGTAACCAGCATAACGTCCAATTTTCTGTCCAGGTGCCGGGTCAAAATGTGACCGGTCAAAAACGGAAGGTTTTTAGATTTGCCTGATTTCATCAAAACCGCTAACTAAAAAAGTGACCGGTCACTTTTCTAAAAGTTGGCCGGTCAAATTTTTATTTTTTCCCATTCGCATTTTCTTGTCAATCCAGAACATCAAAAAATGACCGGTCACTTTTGACCATGCCACTTTCTTTTCCCCCTCTGGCCTGGGTGCCATGCCTAACAGCAACCTTGCTCAAATTTCGAATGAATAATCTGAAACGGTTTTGGAATCATCAAGTCTCAACATCAAGACCCGAGCTTTCTTCGGAGATTTTGACCATGTCCTATGATCGCGAACCCTCTCCAAGGTTCAGCCCTCTTCCAGGCAACACCCTTCTTCCAGGGCCCCTCTTCCAGGTTTTAAGTCTTTTAATGTGCCATTCTTTAATCATTAGGTTGACCTAGCCAACCCAATCTTCCCTCGTGGGGGTATGCCGGTGAGAACCAGCCCTCATCCAATCTTACATGTC